TGTCTAAAGCAACAGAAGCATAGCGGAGATCTGGTTTCTGTGTTTAACAGTCCTGAGGCGGTTCAATCAGGAGAGCCAGATGAATGCAAACACACTGAGGCCTGAGCTGAAATGCTCAGTTATGACTGGGGTATTCAAATATTGTGTGTATGAAAGCAAACTCATCAATGCAAACATATACTGTAACATGCTTTTGCGTATTGTCATCTTACACCACGCACTCACACACACAGCTGGGAGTCTCAGGTAAACCTGTTTTCCACGCTTCTCATCTCCTCACAGCTCTTCATGCGGAATGACACTCAATCTCAAATGGTGTCCTCGGGCCACTGTACGGCTGAAGGAAGTGTTTCACATACGTGTGCAACATCACAAGTTTCTTATCCTCAGCTATAATGGATGTATTTCTGTTTACTTATGCGTTTTGCATGCTTTGTCAAGAAACAGTGTGCAAACTTTTCCTTTTAGAGCTTTCAAGCTGTGACAAATTAAATATTAGCATAAATGTATTGCATGGTATTTCAGCCTGTTCTGAATTAGTATGCTTTATTTTTTTCTAGGGTGACCATACATCCTATTTTTCCAGGGATTGCCTAAAAAGTCCAGGTTTTGGCTTTGTTTTCCTATTGTTTTCATACTTGCTGAAGGTATTGAGTGAAAAGTAGTTTGACCAATAGTGTGCAGGAATTGTACATAATCGACCAATCGTGGCATGTGAGAAGGCGGGATCTAGAGAACAGTCAAAGCAATGCAAATACGCACACATATAATGTATGAGGACTGTAGAGAGAACGCTAATCGGAAAACAAGGCCAAAACCTGGACTTTTTAGGTCATTTAAATGGTTTTCCTGTAGTAGTCAAAAAACAATCCCAAAGAAATCCCACAGACTTTAATTAACGGAATGTTCTGGGTTCTTTTCACGGACAGGAAGGACTGGAGTTCAAGACCTCTATTGATTAATGACATCACAGTAAACTACCACTGACCTTTGACCTTATTGCCTGCAGCCTTTTGAAAAATTACCAGCATTTGTAAAGAGCATTTAACCTCATTTGTATTTGTGGTGAGTAAAAGAAACGATGAAAACACTATGAATCAGATGCTATAATGAATGATAATTCACTTTAGCCCACAAGCCTCGACCTGATTGGCTGGTTTGTACAAACATTTACATATATGCATGTAGCAGATGTAGCAAAAAAATCAATTTGTCAATATATGTGATACACAATGCCAGGTTTATTAGACACCTAGAAATGTAATAGCCATGAGCCATGATACATTAAAGGCTTTTTAATTCATATTCAGTTCCATGGACAAATTTGTTATTTATTTATTTATTTCAATTTTTGCTCCAAGTAATATAGTTTTTGAAAACCAGGCTCATTGAGGGTTTTTTTTAATTATTATTATTTTTTTAATTTTATATTACAACTTCGATTATGGCTCATCCAGTCAGAAATCAAAGACTCATCTGAAATTATATTTGCTTGCTGTTCATCATATAAACCAATCATATCTCTTCTTGGAGTACGACTATTAACCAGATTCTTATGGGTCTGGAGCAACACGAGGGAGAGTAAATAATGGTTTTTGGTGAACTACTCTTTTAAGTTTCTGTGATCTTTTTACACTGATTGTGAGCTAAAGTTAACAGCTGCTTCACATATTTAAAACACATGTATTTCTAAATTTTGATTTGTTCTAATAGTGTTTCACTTCTAGAACCATGCTCATCTTGAGCAGAAACATCATTTTAAAACAACATTTTAATGCTCCTTTTTGCATCTTTATTTGAGCAATGCTTTATAGTTTATATGAAACTATAAACTGTTAGCAAGATAATAAGATAATGATTGACTGGCTATAATAACCATAATCAGATCATGTTTGTTGGCATGAGAGCATGTTGCGGTTTGGCATCTGCATTATTATCTGGCAAACTGTGATTAAGCCGAATATTTCCTGCAGATTACAGTTCAGCGAGACTCAAACTGTGCTTTCCTCCAGTCGTGCATCAGCATCAAATACTCGTTACTGCAACGAGTCGGATCCAATTATTTGACATTATACTGAAGCAAGTAAACAGGTCATAATGAGCGCAGAACACGGAGCTCAATGGAAATGACGGCGGAGAGGCTTTATTTTCATGAATATGCTTCCACGAGCGTTAAATGAGCTGTGAAATGAGATTCATCACACACACGGCGTTAAAAAAGTCTTAAAGCGTTTAAAAGGAAGACTGAAAGAAAGTAAAAAGCCAATCTCGCTTTCAGGAGGAAATCTGGATCATTACATTGACTTTTGGAAGCCATCAGAAGAGTTTGATTTTCTAATGGCGTAATGGTGAATGCATGCTTATAAATGCAAATACAGGACACACACACACACACACACACTCCCACACACACACACACACACACA